TTTACCTTTTTCTCATTCTGTGTTTGAATTTCTTTTCTCCTTCCTTCTCTGGCAGAAAAATGCAAAAGACACAATAATTTCCACTGGTACTGAGGGATTACAAAACCTCCCTGCTGCCAGGGACTGGCCCAATGGGCTGCTGTCATAAATATAAAGGGAAGGGTAAACCCCCTTTAAAATCCCTCCTGGCCAGAGGAAAAATCCTCTCACCTGTAAAGGGTTAAGAAGCTAAAGGTAACCTCGCAGGCACCTGACCAAAATGACCAATGAGGAGACAAGATACTTTCAAAAGCTGGGAGGAGGGAGAGAAACAAAGGATCGCTGTCTGTCTGCCTGCCTGCCTGCGTGCGTGATGCTTTTGCCAGAGACAGAACAGGAATGGAGTCTTAGAACTTTTAGTAAGTAATCTAGCTAGGTATGTGTTAGATTATGATTTCTTTAAATGGCTGAGAAAAGAACTGTGCTGAACAGAATGACTATTTCTGTCTGTGTGTCTTTTTTGTAACTTAAGGTTTTGCCTAGAGGGATTCTCTATGTTTTGAATCTAATTACCCTGTAAGGTATCTACCATCCTGATTTTACAGCAGTGATTCTTTTCTTTTTACTTCTATTAAAAGTCTTCTTGTAAGGAAACTGAATGCTTTTTCATTGTTCTAAGATCCAAGGGTTTGGGTCTGTGGTCACCTGTGCAAACTGATGAGGATTTTTACCAAACCTTCCCCAGGAAGTGGGGTGCAAGAGTTGGGAGGATTTTGGGAGGAAAGACGTGTCCAAACTCTGTTTTTTCAGGAACCCAGATAAAGTTTGGTGGTAGCAGTGGAAATCCAAGGGCAAAGTGTAAAATTAATTTGTACCTTGGGGAAGTTTTAACCTAAGCTGGTAAAAGTAAGCTTAGGAGGTTTTCATGCAGGTCCCCACATCTGTACCCTAGAATTCAGAGTGGGGAAGGAACCTGGACAGCTGCTAACTAACCATTGTTATTTTTATTCTAGCTCATACTCCATCTATCGTCATAGAGATCAGGAAATGAGTATTGACCAGAGCAGTGGAAAACATGTAATTTTCCCTTCACAGGAGTTTATGCAAATGTTTCCCTTGATTTCAATCCCCCAAAGGAAGTCTTTTCATTGAAGTTTGCTTTCAGATAAACCCGACATTCACAACTGAAGTCCCCCATGGAACCTAAAGCAAATAGAACTGCAGACTTTGCACGGTTTAATGAGAAGCCATAAACTGGGACCAAGCTTGCTTGAAAAGCTGATGAACCCTAGAGACTCTTTCCCCAGACCTGCACTGATTTGCGAATCTGTAACAAATCCCACAGCCAGGTGAGCTGCTCATAGTGTCAGGTTCCACACAGACGTAGGGTTGGCTACAAGTGCTGGAGTCTGCAGGACAGTTTCACTGGGACACTGGACTGTCTGCAGTACCCTCTGCCACATGGCTGGAAACTGAAGAGACAGCAGTAGATCAAAACAGATTTAAATATAGGTGGAAATAAAATAGAGTAGCAGAGACAAGTCAGTTGTAGTGTGACTATTTCCTTCTCTCCATATGAATTATGGGCACCAGAACTGGGCTCTGTATTTCACCAACAGGAGCACCAGTACCAAATACAGAGTAAAATAACCTCCCTCCTTCTACTCAAGATTGCCATTTATGCACCCCAGGATCACATTAGCCCTTTTGGCCCCAGGTCTAATAGGTCTAAAAAAATGCATAGGTCTAATAAAAATTCTAATTGGCAACTAAGTTTATAGCCATAGAGTTACTTTGGGGAGAGAGGACAATACACTGCCCAAGGGGAAGAGCAATGTTCTTTCCTGCTCCCTGGGCCAGGTGTGAGCTCGTTGGTTTTTTTTCTAGTTTTACCCTGATGTTTTTCAAATGGTTCAGGTTTTCAGTTGTGCCAAAGTTCTCTTTCATTAGTGTCTCAAAGACAAGCCAGCAAATCCAAAGGCATAGCTGTCTCTACACAATCAATAGCATCTCAGAGTGCTTTGTCCTCAAGTAGCACACTGACCTTCCAAAGCTGTAAATCATTTATTCAGAATTCAATAACCGATGGGGAAGTCAGCAGTTCCTTCGGAGCTGTCAGTTTCTCATCGTCATACTCAGAGAATTATAACGTTGTAATATCAGATCGTCTGGGGTCTGTTTGAAACTGGACTGTTTCTTTAATCAGCAGTGGCTCAATACCTGCTGCAGGTTTCCAGCCCCTATAGACTGCACGGGTCCAGCCAGCCTCACCCGTGAGGCGCCAGACTAGACAAGAATTTGCCGTTTCCATCGAACTTTCCATTTTGATGGAAACCACTGGCAGGGCCGTCCTTAGGCGTACGCAGCTCATGCAGCTGCGTCGGGCACCATGACCTTTGGGGTACCAAATTGCCCCGAATTTCATGGTGCCCTAGGCAGCTGCGTGCTGCATACACGGCAGCACCAGCCCCGGCAACCAGCCCTATCCCCCGGCCGCACCCCCTCGGGCTGTGCCCACTGCAAGGGGCAGGCCCATCCTTGGGGGGGGCCCGGACAACTCCCTCCACCCGACCTCTTTCCCTTCCCCCCTGCTCCGCCCCTGGCCCGCCCCCATCCCACCTCCTCCCCCAGCCACCCCGCGCTCAGCGGCAGCGGTGGGAAGCGGAGTGCCGCGGCTGGGAGCTGGTGGAGTAGAGCGGGCTGGGGCTGGACTGCTCCGCTTCCCACCACTGCTGGTGAGTGCGTGGGGATCCCTTCCCCCAAGCCCCCTCCTCCGACTGACAGGGCTGGGGCCGGGGCAAGAGAAGAGGAGCAGGCTGCTGCCAGCCCCCCGCTGATCCCCGGGGCCACTCTGGGCCGGTGGAGCCCCCAAAATTGCCCCCCAGAGCTCCTGCCTCCCAGACCCTGGTGGGGGGGGGGGGCAGGGGGAGACCTGGGGCTCCCCACAGCTGCCCCACGGTGGGGGCTGCATAGGACACCCAAATGGTTAGGGATGCCCTGACCACTGGCATCAAAGGGAACAGTTATTGTCTTCAATGGAGCTCAGACAAACTACTGCAGATGCCTGGCCCCATCTCTGAACTACCCAAGAAAGGTCTAGACTTTCTGAGGGAAGATGGGGCAGAGGTGGCTCTGTGGGATAGAATCGTAGGATTGGAAGGGACCAGTCGAGAGGTTATCTAGTTCAGTCCCCTGCACTCATGGCAGGACTCAGTATTATCTAGACCATCCCTGACAGGTGTTTGTCTAACCTGCTCTTAAAAATCCCCAATGATGGAGATTCCACAACCTCCCAAGGCAATTTATTCCAGTGCTTAACCACGCAGACAGTCAGGAAGTTTTTCCTAATGTCCATCTTAAACTGCCCTGGCTGCAATTTAAGTCCATTGCTTCTTGTCCTAGCCTCAGAGGGTAAGAAAAAAAAATTCTCCCTCCTCCTTGTAACAACCTTTTACGTACTTGTAAACTCTTATCCTGTCCCCCCTCAGTCTTCTGCAGACTAAACAAACCCAGTTTTTCAATCTTCCCTCAGAGGTCGTGTTTTCTAGACCTTTAATCATTTGTGTTGCTCTTCTCTGGACTTTCTCCAATTTGTCCACATCCTTCCTGAAATGTGGCACCCAGAACTGGACACAATACTGCAGTTGAGGCCTAATCAGAGAGGAGCAGAGCGGAAGAATCACTTCTCATGTCTTGCTTACAACACTCCTGCCAATACATCCCAGAATATTTTCTTTTTTTTGCAACAGCGTTACACTGATGACTCATATTTAGCTGGTGATCCACTTTGACCCCCAGATCCCTTTCTGCAGTGCTGCTTCCTAGGCAGTCATTTCCCATTTTGTATGAGTGCAACTGATTGTTCCTTCCTAAGTGGGGTACTTTGCATTTGTCCTTACTGAATTTCATCCTATTTTCTTCAGACCATTTCTCCAGACCACCTTCCACATCCCTTTCAAAGTTCATTCATGGAGCTGGACCACCCTCCCAGTAAATAAGGGAGTAAATTGTTCCCTGTGAAATTTGTCCCAGGTGTTCCTGGGTCAGCCACAGGGAACCACTGGGTACCAATGCCAAGGACTCCCTAGGTTGGTCCTTCCAGTCCTTCCCAGGTCAGGGCCACTCCCATGTATGTAATGGCCCAGACCTCCTCTCTGAGCAGGAGATTAGCAGTGTCTTATGAGGACATGTCCATTGTACATGTCACAAGGGTTGTCTCTGCTGCTTTGGACAAACAGATCTGAGTCCTGCTTTCCCTGCATCACTTTTCAGGGGAGATTTTTAACAACAGAAACAGACCTACATAGGCACCTGACTTCCATCAACTTTCAATAACATTGAAACAGATCCATACAAATAGTACGATCGGAATAATTCCCTATTTCCAGAGATGTGTCCCTTGGTAATAACTACCCACTCTTCCAAATGAAGGTAAGCCCATTGCAATTCGGGTAGCACTTGAATGGATCACAGGGACTGGAGGCTCAAGAGGTTATTTTACCTCTGTATTTGACGCTGGTGCAAGCTCTGCCGGAAGCAGTTCTGGTGCCCACAATTCAGTAAGGATGTTGATTAATTGGGAGAGCTCAGAGAAGAGCCAGAGAATGACTAAATGATTAGAAAACATGCCGTAGAGTCATAGCCTCAAGGAGCTCCATCTACTAAGTTTAACAAAGAGAAGGTTAAGAGGTGACTAGATTACAGTTTATAAGTAGCGACGTAAGGAAAAAATATTTGGTAATGGGCTCTTCAATCTAACAGCGAACGGTGTAACATGATCCAATAGCTGGAAGTTGAAGCTAGACAAATTCAGACTGGACATAAAGAGTACATTTTGAACAGTGAGGGTAATTAGCCATTGGGACACCTTACCAAGGGTCATGGTGGATTCCCCATCACTGGCAATTTTTAAATGAAGATTGGATGTTTGACACAAACAAGTCACAATTATTCTGCTGACTTGGTGCGTCATTATTCATTGCTCCTTACTTTGTTTCAATGTCGTAATATCTTTTTATTAGCAGCGAGGTGAAGAACGCATTTCTGAGTACAGCATGGAATCCCTACCCGCATCTGCAACTGGCAGCATCTCATTCCACCTGCAACCTGCCTCTGCAGTCTGACTGGCACAATACCCCTGGGGAAGAGCATCTCCTCCATCCATAATCCAGCCAAGATGTTTCTGGAGGGTTCAGAGAGAGACATGGATGCAGCTTCAGAGAGGTTATCAACAGATACCCGTCGTGGTACCAGATGGAAGCACTAGGGGACCTTTCTCTATCCTATAGCAAATGTGGGTGTCAAGAAAGCTTTGGAGTCTTGATATCAAGCACATCTTTACAAGGGTTTACACATAACTTGTAGGGATTTCTCAAGAGCTGCCTTCTTTGCAAAACCCTTCCATATCCCAGACTTTGGGGATCTGGATAAAATAGAGCTTAGACTTTCACCACCTCTGTGTTTGGTTTGTAAAGCCAAAGCCATGCTGTTTTTCTCATCACAGAGGCTGGAGAAAGCACACACATGCACAAAGAAGAGCTTATATCTAGTCCCCCTGGGCATTGCTGGCTGGACGAATGGGGAAGGTTATAGAACTCATTGCAGTGGCGTAAATACTGGACTGGTATAGAGGAAACTCCCACGGCCCTTCCAGAACTCTGCGTCTCAGGGAACATACAGCTCAGCAGATGCTTTCACTCTGCTCAGATCTTTCACTAGCCTGTTCCTAGAACTTTGAAAGTTTGCAGGGTCCTTCATGTCTCATAAGTTGAGCATTTTCTGCTATTGTTTAGGTGTGTGTCTGTCTGTGTCTGTGTGCTCACATCCCCCCCAAAAGGCTTGAGGAGCGTTTGCATCGAACATTTTGTGGAAATATGTTGGGAAAGATCACTAGCAGATTCACCTTCTCCCTCTATAATGCTAAATATCACCAGTTACTGCAGGGGCCATGACTCAATCTAGTGGTTAATCAGGCCAGCCACTCTGACCCTGAGCTGGGAGGAATTCCGGGCAGACAGGAACTCTCTCTCCAGAAGGCTAGATGCAGGTAGAGCGGAAATAATCACTCACTCTTCCTCTTCAGCCAGCACTGCAGCAGCTCTCCCTGTCCATGCCTCCATCTCCTGTCCACCTGACTGCTCCCACAGCCGCACTCTCAGACGACGCCCGCCTCTCCCTCTGCCTCATGACCCCCATCCCCAGCAACCCACCATCCCCACTGCTAACAACAACAGACACGGCGCTTGTAAGTGAGCTGCTCAGGGCTGGCAGGGCCTGGGAAGTGCCCAGGACAATACCCAGGCCCGGGAAGGAGCACCCGGCCAGAGGAGCGCCCGGGGCAGTACCCAGGCCCGGGAAGGAGCACCCGGCCAGAGGAGCGCCCGGGGCAGTACCCAGGCCCGGGAAGGAGCACCCGGCCAGAGGAGCGCCCGGGGGAGTACCCAGGCCCGGGAAGGAGCACCCGGCCAGAGGAGCGCCCGGGGGAGTACCCAGGCCCGGGAAGGAGCACCCGGCCAGAGGAGCGCCCGGGGCAGTACCCAGGCCCGGGAAGGAGCACCCGGCCAGAGCAGCGCCCGGGGGAGTACCCAGGCCCGGGAAGGAGCACCCGGCCAGAGGAGCGCCCGGGGGAGTACCCAGGCCCGGGAAGGAGCACCCGGCCAGAGGAGCGCCCGGGGGAGTACCCAGGCCCGGGAAGGAGCACCCGGCCAGAGGAGCGCCCGGGGCAGTACCCAGGCCCGGGAAGGAGCACCCGGCCAGAGGAGCGCCCGGGGCAGTACCCAGGCCCGGGAAGGAGCACCCGGCCAGAGGAGCGCCCGGGGAGTACCCAGGCCCGGGAAGGAGCACCCGGCCAGAGGAGCGCCCGGGGGAGTACCCAGGCCCGGGAAGGAGCACCCGGCCAGAGGAGCGCCCGGGGGAGTACCCAGGCCCGGGAAGGAGCACCCGGCCAGAGGAGACTGACTCTAGGTTCCTGCACACAAATATCATAGCAGCTGCTTAGCTGGTACCCACCAAAAAACACCAGTCCTGTCTGCACTGGCTCCTTGCTGCAGCCAGCCCAACGGTGCAGCCCTTTGGCCCCGTTCCACAGAGCTGGTACCATAAAGTCTGGGGTAGACTGGCCACAGGAAAGCATATTTGTGCATGAAATTTGCTAAAAATGGCTAGCGGTCTGTGCTAGCTTTCTCACCTATGCTGACCCCAAAACCCAAACAACAAATGATTTGCCTAGCCCACTGGCTTGCAGTTAAGCACGTTCTGGCTGTTTGAGACTTATTGTCAATTTTGAATACTTTTATAATTGACTTGTGACTGGAAACAGATCTTTGCCTATGTTCAGTTACTGTTTCTTTAAAACTGTCAGCCTTATTTTTTTCTTCTCTGTCTCTGACACTCCTAAAATACCATTATACCTATCTTCAAAATTACACGCAAATAAAGCACTCCAGCACACGTGGCCGCAAAGAGAGAAAACCATTTCCTCAGGTCGCTGAAAGCGCTTGTCTGAGCCTTCTGCTTCAGCTTGTTCCCTGGAGCAAACTGTTTTCTCAGCAAGGCTGTGTGCCCTGGAGTGTTCTCTGTGACTCGTTCGGATGGCAGTGACTTTACTGACAGCAAAATTCTCTTGGGTCACTGGCCCTTCAATGGCATTAGTGTCAGTGGGAATAATGGGAGGTGGACAAAATTAAATAATAGCAACCCTGTTCATCTTCACTGTTCAAAAATTAAATGAAAATTAATGGCTTTGTGGGTAATTAACTTCCAAAGCAGTTCCCTGTAATGTCAGACCAGCTCTCAGCCTCTTTACTGTCAGCCAGGTTAGGTCAAACTCTATTACTCCCTCCACAGTAATGTGCTGGATTTGGACCTAGATTGCATGGCATTGTTTCTAAGGACTGCACCGGCACCCAGACTATATCAGGGAAGCAGCAAGCCCTGAGGACAAAATAATTAGTAGATTAGCAGAGCAGAGCAGAAGCAATCTACACTGAGACTGCTACCGTCTAAGCTAGTGGAATAGAGGAATCAAGCGAGTCTCTTTCACCAGCTGAAGTTGGCCCAGTAGCAGATATTATCTCACCCACCTGGTCTCTCTAATATCGGGGACTCACGTGGCTACAACAGCCCTGCAGCAACCAACTCCGGTGTGAACTCACATCTGTATCGGAGCCGGATGGAAAGGCAGGTTTGAGCACTCAACATTTCCTTTTCAGATGACCAAAGATCTGTGCACGAGTTGCTTCCCTTGGCGTGTTGTGCTTCCTGGTGTGTGAAACACTCCCAGCCCGCACCAAACCCCCAGGAACCCCACCTGCCTTCAGACTCCACTCCGTACTTCAGCCAGGCTTGTGAAATGTGCTTCGTAACGTCCCTTTTTCACACCTCCTCCTCTTGTGCCTCAGATGTCCTTCCACCTTCTTCATCTAGACGCTCTCTCCTCTAAGGGCCTGGCCCATTGGAGTTAAATGGACGTTTTCCCTTTGACGTCAATGGACTTGGATCAGAACCTAACCCCCCTGCAAAAACTCACCTCTTGTGTGAGACCCAGAAGAAATGATTCAATAATAATAACAACGTTTAAAAAATACCCCCAACCTTTTAGTCCAACCCTCAGGATGTAGGTAGGTGTATCAGGCCTGGTCTACACTACAAGTTTAGGTTGAATTTAGCAGCGTTATCTCGATTTAACCCTGCACCCGTCCACACGACGAAGCCCCTTCTTTTGACTTAAAAGGCTCTTAAAATCGATTTCTTTATTCCACCCCCGACAAGAGGATTAGCACTGAAATCGGCCTTGCAGGGTCGAATTTTGGGTACTGTGGACACAATTCGACTGTATTGTCCTCCATGAACTATCCCAGAGTGCTCAGTTGTGATTGCGCTGGACAGCGCTCTCAACTCAGATGCACTGGCCAGGTAGACAGGAAAAGGCCTGCAAACTTTTGAATCTCATTTCCTGTTTGGCCAGCGTGGCGAGTTCACCTGCACAGGTCACCATGCAGAGCCCATCATCACAGGAGACCATGCAGTCCCAGAATCGCCAAAGAGCTCCAGCATGGACTGAACGGAAGGTACGGGATCTGATCGCTGTGTGGGGAGATGAATCTGTGCTGGCAGAACTCTGTTCAAAAAGACAAAATGCCAAAATATTTGAAAAAATCTCCAATGGCACGAAGGACAGAGGCTATAACAGGTACCCGCAGCAGTGCTTCATGAAAATTAAGGAGCTCAGGAAGCCTACCAAAAAACCAGAGAGGCAAACGGCTGCTCTGGTTCAGAGCCCAGACATGCCGCTTCTATGATGAGCTGCATGCCATCCTAGGGGGTGCAGCCACCCCTACCCCAACCCTGCGCTTTGACTCAATCCAAGGAGTGGGAGGCAACATGGAAGCAGGTTTTGGGGGCGAGGAAGAGGATGATGATGAGGAGATTGTAGATAGCTCACAGCAAGGAAGTGGAGAAACCGGTTTCCCCAACAGCCAGAATCTGTTTCTCACCCTAGACCTGGACCCAGTTCCCCCCGAACCCACACAAGGCAGGCTCGCGGACCCTAAAGGCAGAGAAGGGACCTCTAGTGAGTGTACCTTTGTAAATATTATACATGGTTAAAAGCAAGCGTGTTTAATGATTAATTTGCCCTGGCATTTGCCGCCAGTACAGCTACTGGAAAAATGTGTTAGCGTGTCTGGGGATGGAGCGGAAATCCTCCAGGGACATCTCCATAAAGCTCTCCTGGATGTACTCCCAAAGCCTTTGCAAAAGGTTTCTGGGGAGGGCAGCCTTATTCCGTCCACCATGGTAGGACACTTTACCACACTAGGCCAATAGCACAGAGTCGGGAATCACAGCAGAACAAAGCATCGCAGCGTATGGTCCTGGTGTTTACTGGCATTCAAACAACATCTGTTCTTTATCTCTTTGCGTTACCCTCAGGAGAGTGATCTCATTCGTGGTCACCTGGTTGAAATAGGGTGGTTTTAGTAAGCGGACATTCAGAGGTGCCCGTTCCTGCTGGGCTGTTTGCCTGTGGCTGAACAGAAATGTTCCCCGCTGTTAGCCACGGGGAAGGGGAGGGGTGAAGCCATCATCCCAGAGACTTGTGTGTGTGGGGGGGGGTTAGTTGGGTTTCTGCTGCACATGAACCCGGAAACCGCAGCTCCTCCTTTTAAATTGCCAACCCATTTTTAATGGCCAACCCAACGGCTGCTTGGTATGGGAAATGAGGGCCCTGCTGTTTGAAACCATTCCCACATGTTATGAAGGTTAAAGACTGTGGCTTACCATGGCTGCCTGCAAGCCGAATTCTGCTGCCCTCTCCCACCAAACCTGCAGACCCTCAATAAGAGGCAAAATGCGACCTTGTTCAGAAAGCACATGTGCTATGTAATGTTAACAGCAAGGTTTACTGTGAAAGAGTGTACCCATTGTTCTATAAAATGTGTCTTTTTAACTACCACTCTCCCCCTTTTTTTCCTCCACCAGCTGCATCTGTTTCTCCTTCCCAGAGGCTAGCGAAGATTAGAAGGCGAAAAAAATGCACTCGCGATGAAATGTTCTCTGAGCTCATGCTGTCCTCCCACACTGACAGAGCCCAGACGAATGCGTGGAGGCAGACAATCTCAGAGTGCAGGAAAGCACAATATGACCGCGAGGAGAGGTGGCGGGCTGAAGATGATAGGTGGCGTCAGCTTGCTGAAAGAAGTCCGGAGTCAATGCTCAGGCTGCTGGAGGATCAAACACATATGCTCCAGGTCCTTGTGTATGGCTTCATGAGCCAGGGCATTAAGGGGTAGGCTGGGTCCCCAAGGAGAACTATAGGCATTTCAACATCCCCAATGGTTATTTTCTGGGCTGGGAATAAAGTCCCTTCCTGCAGCTGTTGAAACAGACCAGAGTTCCTGAAGATGCGAGAGTCATGTACCTTTCCAGGCCATCCCACGCTGAAGTTGGTGAAACGTCCCTTGTGATCCACCAGAGTTTGCAGCACTATTGAAAAGTACCCCTTGCGGTTTATGTACTCGCCGGCTTGGTGCTCCAGTGCCAAGATAGGGATATGGGTTCCGTCTACGGCCCCACCACAGTTAGGGAATCCCATTGCAGCAAAGCCATCCACTATGACCTTCACATTTCCCAGGGTCACTACCCTTGATATCAGCAGATCTTTGATTGCGTGGGCTACTTGCATCACAGCAGCCCCCACAGTAGATTTGCCCACTCCAAATTGATTCCCGACTGACCGGTAGCTGTCTGGCGTTGCAAGCTTCCACAGGGCTATTGCCACTCACTTCTCAACTGTGAGGGCTGCTCTCATCTTGGTATTCTTGTGCCTCAGGGCAGGGGAAAGCAAGTCACAAAGTTCCATGAAAGTGCCCTTACGCATGCGAAAATTTCGCAACCACTGGGAATCGTCCCAGACCTGCAACACTATGCGGTCCCACCAGTCTGTGCTTGTTTCCCGAGCCCAGAATCGGTGTTCCACCGCATGAACCTGCCCCATTAGCACCATGATGCATGCATTGCCAGGGCCCCTGCTTTCAGAGAAGTCTGTGTCCATGTCCTCATCACTCTTGTCACCGCACTGACATCGCCTACTCGCCTGGTTTCGCTTTGCCAGGTTCTGGTGCTGCATATACTGCTGGATAAGGCGTGTGGTGTTTAATGTGCTCCTAATTGCCAAAGTGATCTGAGTGGGCTCCACGCTTGCCATGGTATGGCATCTGCACAGAAAAAAGGTGCGGAACGATTGTCTGCCGTTGCCCTGATGGAGGCAGGGGCGACTGACGACATGGCTTACAGGGAATTAAAATCCACAAAGGGGGTGGCTTTGCATCAAGGAGAAACTGAATGGCCCCCTCAAGGATAGAACTCAAACCCCTGGGTTTAGCAGGCCGTTGATTTCACAGAGGGAGGGAGGAAGGGAGGAGAAAATGAATACAAAACAGATCTGGTCTATTTCTTGTTTTGATCCACTTCATCTATCTTTATACAACTTGCTGGCAGCAGACTGTGAAGTACAACTGCTGGCCGTCGTCATGTCCTGGGTGCTCGGCAGAAGACGTGCAGTAGGACTGCTGGCCATCGTCGTCTCCTGGCTGCTCATCAGAAGACGGTGCAGTAGGACTGCTGGCAGGACTGAATCACCATGAGACGAAACTTAAAAAGGAAATGACCTGCCTGAGTCACTCCCATGTTTGCCCAGGTGCCCCTGACAGACCTCACTGAGGTTGGCTAAAAGAGCACCCTGGAGCACGGCGACAATGGCTACCAGTCATACTGCACTGTCTGCTGCCAAAAGGCAATGAGCTGCTGCTGCTGTGTAGCAATGCAGTACCGCGTCTGCCAGCACCCAGGAGACATACGGTGACGGTGAGCTGAGCGGGCTCCATGCTTGCTGTGGTATGGCGTCTGCATTGGTAACCCAGGAAAAAAGGCTCAAAACAATTGTCTGCTGTTGCTTTCACAGAAGGAGGGAGGGAAGGGAGGGCCTGGCCAGAACCACCCGTGACTATGTTTTTGCCCCATCAGGCATTGGGATTTCTACCCAGAATTCAAATGGGCGGTGGAGACTATGGGAACTGTGGGATAGCTACCCACAGTGCAACGCTCCAGAAGTCAACGGTTGCCTCGGTACTGTGGACGCACTCCGCCGACTACATGCACTTAGAGCATTTGTGTGGGGACACACACAATCGACTGTATAAAAACGCTTTCTACAAAACTGACTTCTATAAATTCAACCTAATTTCATAATGTAGACATGGCCTCAGAGTAACCCCATCATCTTATTGATGTATCCCTTGTCCTTTCTCATGCTCCTCTACCTCCCTTCCAGTTCTTACTCACACTCTTTGCATCACATCCCTTATTAGACTGTGAGCGCTTTGTGGCATGGACCAGGTCTTTCTATGTGTTCTGTACAGCACCTGGCACTTTTGGGTGCTTACAATATAACATCAAACACTATAACATGATTAGACCAGGTTCTGCATTTACACAGAGATAAATCAAGGGTGACTCCATGGAGGAAGTAGTGGTGCACGTGAGACTGGAATCAGACCCATTAAGCACAGTTAGCAAGCTCTTGTTAGGACGTACAGTGTTTTGGTGTGGATTGGATATATTTTAAAACACCTTCTGAGCGGTCTGTGTTACCGTGACGGCATTTTCTGTTCCTGTTTCTTAATCACCTTTGTGCTGTTGATGAAGCTGACTGACTTTCTGTTCGGTTACGTGCCCCTTCTGTGCGTTTGCAATGGCAGCCCAGGGAAGCAGCACAGACAGGATTGGAGGATGTTCCCATGAAGGATGTGACTTTGCATTTGAGCTGATTGGGAATTTTTCAGTAAAACGTTGTTGTCTTTGTTGTTGGAAAATGCTGGTCAGCAAAGCCGGAACTTTTCACATAAATGTAGCAGTTGTGACAAAACTTTCCTCAGAAGGTTTCTGAGGTTGAAGATGAAGTAGAGAAAGTGAGACCCACCCAGCTCTGGAATAGCCAATAGCCATGTGGTTACGGCACTCCCATGGGATATGCAGCTTCAAGTCACTGCTCTGAGTCAGAGAGCTCCTACCTGGACATTGACTTCCTACATCCCAGGAGAGTGCACTAATCACCAGGCTATAAAGTCAGTCCATCAGTCTTAGTGTCTCGTGCAGGAACTGTCCCACTTTGTACAAATAATTGAATATTCATTGGGCAAGAGAGGGAGACTGACCCTGTAGGCTGGGGTTAGAACACTCAGACGGAGATGCACGTTCAAGGCTCTGCTCAGAATTAGGTATTGCAGGGACTTGAAACTGGCTTTCCCATTTCCCAGCTATTCCGCTCTTTCACTCTCTCTGGTTTTCAAAAGAAATTCAAAATGTCTCAGGTTCACCTTAAAGGGGAACGAGAAAGCTGATTTTCGGATGAAAAAACCATATCCCTCCCTTGACTTTGTATGGATAATGTGACTTGTCAATCAGATAGACCCTGTACATATCTCTAAGAGACTGGCACCTCCTTTGAGGGATGTCCGGGTCAGCAGACAAGCAGATATTGGCTCCAATCATTATAGTTTAGTGCCCATGTCACAACTTCAACTCCAAAAGCTCACAAAGATGGATAAAAAAGTGTTATAGCAATAGAGAAATTCAGGGACAAAAACACAGATCAGATTGCACTTAGCAACCAGTCCAGTGTTTTACAGGACCAGGCTGCTGAAGGTCTGGAAGGATGGTCAGACTGGAAGTAGTTGAGACAGCAGGAGAAGTAGTGGGCCTCCCAAGTGGAACATGGCCAGCAATTGATGAGTGAAAAGTGCTGAAGGCAAAAAAAGAACGGTGAAAGACAAAGGCAGACCCTGTAGATACAGAGAAAAAGACAAAGAAATAAAGGAGAAATGCAGGCCAGATAGAAATGCCTGTGTTCAGAAGAAGGCTGATGAGGCAGAAATAGCAGAGCTGTAGAATAGTGAATGACATTTCAGGGAGAACCAAATGATCACAGTTGACGTCCATCAGGGACTCTCACAGACAGATGTTGAAAACACAAGAAGAACAAGCCAGACAATGGAAAGAACATTTTCACTCCATATTAAACTGTCCAGAGCCGACGATCATGTACATGTTCAAGAGAAATGCCAATACTAAGTTAGAAACAGAAAAGGGACCAATAACCCCAGATGAAATTAAAACAGACATCAAAGGCTTCACACAGAGGGAAAGCACCTGGGGTTGACAGAAATCAAGCAGAGGTACTAAAGGCAGGAGGAGAAATTATGACTGAGCATCTAACAAAACATGGGTGAAAAAGCAGGTGCAACGAGCCTGCAAAGGTGGTCATCATGGCATTGCCCAAAAAGGGGGATCTTAGTGCATGAACTGGAGAGATGTTGTACTGATATCAATCCTGGGCAGAGTATTGGTTACATTATTCTGAACAGAATGGAGAAGGCAGTGGATGAAATATTACAAGAACAGGTGGGTTCTCTCCAGGGAGATCATGTTGTGAACGGATATTCATTATTCGACAGATCACCGAAAAAGCTACTGCTTGGCAAAAAGCCATCTTAATAAACTTTATCAACTTTAAGAAAGCATTTGATAGTTTCCACAGAGAGACCCTGTGGAATATTGCTAGACGCTATCGGCTACCAGACAAGCTGATCAACGTAATAAAGAGTTTATACGATGGAAGTATTTGTGAAGCAAAATCAAATATAGCCCTGGGTGAATGATTTGATATTGTAACTGGAGTGAGACAGGGGTGTGTGTCATCACGAATCCCCTTTGCACTAGAGATAGACTGGGCAATGAAAGGCACCATGGATGGTGTAAAACGAATTAGCAGAGATGAGTAACACAACCTTCAATTTGCCAACAACATGGTTTTACGAAGTGTGATGTGAATGGAGTGATTGCCCTTACAGCAGAAGTAGAACGGGAAGCAGCAAAAATTGGATTGCAGAGAATACCAAGATTATGAAGGTAGGAAACTGAACAACAGATTGAAATGTGTATGTGGCTGGAAAAGAAATTGAACAGGTAGAATTGTTCTGCGTTCTGGGGAAAGTGATGACAGCTGAAGATGGCTGTGATAGAGAGATTCATAGGAGGTTAGGAAAAGCAAACACCATGTTTGGCAGGATGAATAACGTGTGGCCAAACAGAGATCTCCACACCAAACTAAAGGTCAGATTAAACCATGCCCTTGTACTGACCACACTCCTGCGTGGAGCAGAGACTTGGCGAATGACCATGGCTAACAAGAAGAGACTGGAGGCTGCTCATCAGAGATGGCTGGGGCAGATACTACATATGTCATGGAAAGACAAAATAACAGATGTGAGCGTAAGGAGCTGACAAAGCAGGACACATTAGAAAATATAATCAACGAAAGAAGGGCCAGGTGGCTGGGACCCGTTCTCCGTATGGAAGATGGGAGACATGCGAAGCAAGCATTGAACTGGGTACCTGAGGGAGGAAAGACCAAGGAAGGACTGGCAGAAGAGACGGACGTAGGATATTGAATGGACTGGCATTACCTGGGAAGAATTACCGCAACTAGTTAGCAACCATAATCCATGGAGGAACTGGAGTACTACCAGACAGGGACACTAAAATGTAAGGGGTGGACAATGAGCTGAACGTGAGCTCCCAATGTGACACTGTGGACAAAAGAGGTGAAAGAATATTGGTGCAACCATTGCTGGACCACAGTCTCCAGTTGTGGCGTGCACTATTCAAGAAGGGTGTTAACAAGTTGGAGAGAGCTCAGGGGAGATGAGAATGATAAAATGACTGTAAACTCATCTTACAATGATAGACTCAAGGAGCTCCATACATTTTGCTTATCAAAAAGAAGGTTAAGAGGTGACGATCACACTCTTTAAATAAATAAATACACGAGGAACAGAAATTTGATAATAGAGGGCTCTTCAATCTAGCAGACAAACATATAACAATATTCAATAGCTGGAAGTTGAAGTTAGACAAATTCAGACTGGAAATAAGATGCAAATTTTTAACAGAGAGTGTAATTAACCACTGGAAATATTTACCAATGGTCATGGTGGAGTCTCTGTCGCTGGCAATTTTAAAATCCAGATTGAATGTGTTTCTAAGAGATCTGCTCTAGTTCAGACCAGAATTAACTCAGGGAGTTCTATGGCCAGTGCTTGCAGGAGGTCACACTAGGCGATCACAGTGGTGACCATATAGATCATTGTTGCTACCACTGTTATATAATTGCAACAAACCTTGTTCAAAGTATGCCAAGTAAGGTGTCTGTGGAAAGGTTAGGATTGGCTGGTTAGGATGATGCTATCTGGATGCATGTATCATTTTTGTATTGGAAGTTATAAGTATTGGCTCTATACCTGGATTTCAAATGTTTGCTCCGGTGGTAATGACAACAAGGTATTTAGCCTGCACATCTTGAAGAGACTATTCAAGTTGAAGGACCCATCAAGCAACACTTAACTCACAATGTACCATGAGAGATGCCTATCTACACTTAATGGACTTTCTTGTGATGGCTTCTGCTGTGACAAAGCAAAGTCACGCATGGACACATGACTTGCCCATGTAACTCCAAACACCATCTTGCTACCTGTAATTCTCCAGAGTGAGAACAATGGGTTTCTCTTCAATTGAGAGAAGCTATAAAAGGTGCTGGAAACATCTCCATTTTGCCTCTTTCCTGTTCAAACCTCTGAACTATTATGAACTTCTACTAATGGGAGCATCTAACCAAGGGACCGAGTATCTTCCAACGGTTTGGAGAAAAACAGAGACTTAACAAGCAGGCAGTTTATTTCATCACTGCTACAAGCCTGAACCGCGAACCTTGCAATTATTGTATGTATTTGATTCCTTTAACTAATTTTAACTCTCACCTTTCTTCCTTTCCTTTCTTTTATAATAAACCTTTAGATTTTAGATACTGAAGGATTGGCAACAGCATGATTATTGGGTAAGATCTGAGTTATATATTGACCTGGGTATGTGGCTGGTCGTTTGGGATCAGAAGAACCCTTTTGTTTAATGAAATTGGTTTTAAATAACCACTCATCATTAAGTCTAGTGTCTGGGTGTTGAATCCAGGACTTGACTGCATAAGGAGACCGCTTTTCTGATTTCTTGTTAGCCAGCGTGGTGAAACAGAAGTTCACTTTTGTTGCTGGTTTGGTATATCTCATGGAAGAATAACCACCAGTTTTGGGGTATGTCTGCCCTACTTCTCAGCAGTTTGTCCTGAATTGGGTATTCTCAATTGTGACCCACAGAGGCACGGTGACACTGGGGCTATGCAGGAGGTCACACTAGATGATCACAGTGATCCCTTCTGGCCTTGAAATCTCCATATCTGGTGAACAAACCCCTCCCCATTCCCCTAAAAGGGCTAGCGATCGGCCCACCTCGTGGCACTGGATGCGTGAGATCTGACGCTTGTGATCAGTAGATTTGTACTGTTGGCAAAAAAGAAACCCCCCCCAAAAGCTTGAATTCCCTTCACTTTTATTTGTGAAATTATTCAGGGACTAGATTTTTCAATGCTCCACCAGTTGCCTCACATAATTCTCCGTTTGCTATTACCCATAGATAAACTGCAAAAAGTGGGGATTCTCATCCAAAATGGATCTTCCTTTTTTACTACTTGAGGTTCCCCCGGGAGCCTATTTAATGGACCCCTCTCCCATATAGGGCCAGGTGCAGCCATTTAGGCATGATCCTTGATTGGTACCAACCTCCGCCAACACAACCTGCACCTTCACTGCTCACCCCCCACAGCATTCACACACTGCTGTCTGCATCCCAGGAGCTGCTGGTACGGCTGACCGTTGGATTGTCCCTTCCCTCTTTCTGCACACGCTTGATGGACGTACACTATCCGTCCCCCAGAGCTTTACCTGTCTTAACCCATGTATACTGCCAAGGACAAGCTGCTTTGAGGGAATGTCACTGTTTTCTCTCTCTGGTGAAATGAAGATATGTAAAAGCCCCTGGTCATGCCTGGTCAGCAATCACTTAGGGAAACAGTTGTTAGCAAGGCCTGACTGCAACTGTGAGAGAAATGTGAATCTGCTTAATGGGAAATGTTAAGATCAAATGATTTAAGAATAAAAAAGGGGAGGTTTCCATAGCAACAAAGAGCGAGAGGAAAAAACTGTCAATAAAAATTCAAAGAATTACTTCCATGTGAAACTGATTTTCCCCAAATCTAGACCAGCAATAAACTGGTTGGTAACGTAGAATGGGAAATGTTGTCACACTAAATATGTTTTCCTTAATAATTAATTCTGAAGATTCACATGCAGGAAATAAAAATAGGATATTTGCCAACATGGAAAATCAACCAAAATGTACTTTGCTTATTAATAATCCATTGCTTTATGCAGTGCCAG